AGCCGAGGAAGGGGGTCTGGGAGGAGGACCGAACTGCCTTCTCCGCTCTCCCCGCACCTCCGCCCCGCGACCTGGGATCCCCTAACCTCCCACCTGTTGGTGCGATGGCGCGAGGTTCTCGCAGCCTCTCATTTCTGATCCGCACCCCCCATTCTTGGTTTGGTACCTCCTTTTCCCAACTATGAAATCCCACCCGCGGCTTGACACTGTTCGCCCCTGTTTGGAGGCTCCATCCAGGCACCGGGTCCCCCTGTGATTAGGGAGGGAAAGGGTGTGGAGTGGTGCGTTGGCGAGGTCATCAGAGCAGGTGGCGGGCTTGGTCTTCTGAGGGGGCCTGGGAGGTGGAGATGGGCAATGGGTCCCCGTGCTGAGATCTGCGGGTGCTTGGGCTTTACCATAGGGAAGAAGTAACTGAACTCAACACAAATGTGTTGAGCTTCCATTTTATGCTGCCATGTCATGCCAGGCACCGGACAAAATACTAGGGTGGCGTGCAAAAATATGTAAGTCAAAGACAACATATCTGGCCCTAAGGAAGCCCACAATTCAGTGGAAACCAACTGGCATAAAAACGACTAATGATGCTGTACCTGGTTTTGCTCAGTGGATAGAGCGTCAGCCTGCCAACTGAAATGTCCCAGGTTCGATTCCGGCCAAGGGCATGTACCTTGGTTGCGAGCACATCCCCAGTAGGAGGTGTGCAGGAGGCAGCTAGTCGATGTTTCTAACTATCTCTCCCTTCCTCTCTGTAAAATCAATATATATATATTATTTTTTAAAAAAACCCAAAGAAATAAATACTTGGAAATAATTTTTAAAACTGTTTTGGTTCACTTTTTAATAATTATTTGAACAATTTTGTTGTTTTTTGGCCATTTGAATTTATACTCATGGGACTAAATATATATATTATAAAAAAACCTAACGAATCAATGTCAGAATAGGCGAGAGCTAATGGCAGCTAATATTATTTTCCTTGGGAGAGGGTAAGTTATTCTAAGGCCTTTATATGTGTCAATTCATTTAATCTTCAAAACATTTTTTGGTGTGCTGCGGACTTTTAGTAAGTAGTTTATGTGTGCCGCGAGATGAGAAAGGTTGAAAATCGCTGATCTAGAATATACAAAGCATTCTTAAAATTCAATAATAAAAAGACAAATAACCTGACGTGTTATAAACCAGGTTAATCCTAGTAAAGGTCTTGGTTAAAAATAAAAACACTGTGATTGGTTGCAATATAGTGAGTCAAAAAAACAACAAACACACATTTCTTTACCCTGTCAAGTCAGCCTGCAGAGTATCATTTCCTACCCAGCATCTTGAGGTCTTCCTTTCTTCTCTCTTCCCAGATTTCTGGCTTTTGTGTCTATGGCCATCCTGTGTGGTCAGTGTCTAGGAGACCGGCCCACGTTTTACACCTGTGCCCAAGGAGCCTCCATTGGGCTCCACCCCTGAGGGTGGAGAATGACTCAGGAGCCTCATCATATTATTTAGAATGGAAACTCCTACAAGATCAACAAATCTCACCTACTAATACCAATCATCTCTTTTAGTAAGAATGGGGGTGGGGTGGGAGGGAGAAAAGAACCCTGGCACACAATTAGTGCTAGAATGTGTTTGGGTACAAATTCTAAGTACTACAGAGTTCAAAGGAGTGGGATTTGAGTTCATCTCGGTGAGTAAGTAGGATTTAGATTCTAAAAAGATAGGAAAGGGCAAACCAGAGCAGGAAGTAATTTTTAAAGGACAGGGAAGGAGACCTAATCTTTCTAGAGCAAAATGATCCTATTAAAGAGAACTGGGAGATAAATTTGGGTGGCTAGGGTAGGTCAGCTTATGAAAATCAAGCACAAGAATTTAGACTTAGTAGAGTCAAAGAGAGAAAGCTATCAGACTTTAAGTAAAGGAATCATAAAACTGAAGTGAACTTTAAGTAAATATCCTATTCTGAAAGCTAGGGAGAATGGAGTTTTGTGTTAAGCATGGCTAGTAGGGTTAAATCCTTCCCCACCATCAAAAAGCATGTCCAAGCCGTGTCAAAGGGTATGTTCTACTAGGAGTGAATCATATGCAAGCCAAGGTCTTCTATATCAGCATGTTCTGTTTGTCCAGTCCTGGTAAATGTCCCCATTTCTATTGTACAAAGAAAGAAAGGCAAACATCTGAAACTGCCACTAGTATATACAGTAAGCTCATATGTAAGTTCCGGTTTCCGGCTCTGCCTAATTTACCTTGGCGCTATTTTCACAGAAGTCAAATATTTGGTGCTTTGATACAAATGCAGAACAAATTCCAGGGTGGGGCCTGTACAACTCAACTTCCACAGTGTAGGCTGGCTTATCCATTACAGTTTTCAGGTATGAATTACTTTCTTACAGGACAAGAGTGGAGGCAGGAAATGTAGTTAGAAGAATTAAGCTAGCTATCAGGAGTGCAATGGTGTGACCCTGGGCGAGTCATCAATTTTTCTGTGTCTTAGATTCCTCATCTATAAAATTGGGGCTAAATGTTAAGACTTCATGGTGTTTCTTTTTTTTTCTTTTTTTCTTTTTTAGAGTTTCAAGTCTTTTTTTTTTTTAAATATATTTTATTGATTTTTTACAGAGAGGAAGGGAGAGAGAGAGAGAGTTAGAAACATCGATGAGAGAGAAACATCGACCAGCTGCCTCCTGTACACTCCCCACTGGGGATGTGCCCGCAACCCAGGTACATGCCCTTGACCGGAATCGATCCCGGGCCCTCTCAGTCCGCAGGCCGACGCTCTATCCACTGAGCCAAACCGGTTTCGGCCATGGTGTTTCTTTAAGAAGCAAATAAGATCACATATTAAAGGTTGCCCATTTATGTTGTTTAAAAATTTAAACAGCAAACATATCTGGCTCTTAGCCAACAGCGATGGTTGATGGTGCAGCGAGAGTCTCAGCCAATCAATGACTTGGTCACAAGGGAGACATTTTTAGATGGAACCTACCACAGACACCTCCCTTCTTACTAGAAGTCAGCGTGGCAAGTAACAACTTCCCAGGCTGTGCTTGGCAGTTCAAAGGCGCCTCCTGGAGGAGATACTAAGAACTGAGAGGAAGAAAATAGGCTCTAGAGACAACCTGTTAACAGGTCACACACCCAGACAAGGCAAACCCCCTGAATCCTCAGCATTTTAATCGACACATTCAGTATAAAATTAGGAACAGGAACATAAATGCCATCACGAAGACTATTCAGGTGTGGATGTCGAGCAATTGCATACAGGAAGAGTAAGAGTTCCCTGCAAGTATAAAAGTATATCCCTATCAAAAGATGAAGAAAAAAATGTTCATCCTATTTAAATATGAATCGGATAGGAAATGATATGGGATGCATTAGAGGATGAATGAATGACATCAAACCAGAATGATTAAATAATGGATCTAAACCTGGTATTTCCCTTAGGTCTCACTGACTCCCAAGAACAATGCTGTCCAATAGCAATATGATGCCAGCTACAAATTTAAAGTTTCTACAAGTGACATTGGAAAGGTAAAACAGCCCTAACCGGTTTGGCTCAGTGGATAGAGCGTCAGCTTGTGGACTGAAGGGTCCCAGGTTCCATTCTGGTTGTGGGCACATCCCAGTGGGGTATGTGTGTGTGCAAAAGGCAGCTGATTGATGTTTCTTTCTCATCGATGTTTCTAACTCTCTATCCCTCTCCCTTCCTCTCTGTAAAAAATCAATAAAAAATAAAAAGTTAAAAAAAGGTAAAACAAAGCAGATGAAACTAATTTTAATAATACATCTAATTTAATACAATACATCCAAAGCATTACTGTTTCAACTTGTAATCAATGTAAAATTATTGAGGCATTTGACATTCTTTATTTTATATGAAATCTTTGAAATCTGGTATTTTACACTTACAGTGCATATTAATTCAGACTACACACATTTAAAGATAGCACAGCTCAAGAAGGCAGGGATTAAAAATTAACATCAGATCCATACATTTGTACAGATCTGTACATTATTCTGCATATACTTATTGTAACGAGATGAAAAGCTTAAAATTGTGTTTTAGAATTTAACATATTTTGGCCAAGCTCTTTTGGAACTTTTGCAGGAGGAGAAAGAAGGATGGCGGATATCTCAAGATCCACCAATTTTTTTTTTTTGTAATCAGAGGTTGAGATTATTGTTCGGGATATTTGAGAATTTCATTGCCATTTCAGATGAATCTGAAGATCTTAATAAAAAGTATAAGATACAGTTATCCTTATGCTCCTAGTCATTAAGTGCTAGCTATGCATTTACTGTGCATTTCTCATAATTATCTCACACACATTTACCATTGGCCTCTGCGTTGCCAGGGCTGTCTTGCCTAGGACTCCTCGGCTCTCCGTTATTTCACACTTCGCCACCTTACTTTCCACCCCTATTTCATAAAAAGTTTGTCGATGGTCCTCATGACAGTGACTCCAGGTGTCAGCAGAACCACCACTGCTGAGACGGGGGAAAAACAAAACAAAACAGTGTTGCCCAACCTTTGAGGAGGTAATCAAGGGTCCCCTAAATTCAAAACTTAATTTTAAGAAAAGAGAACAATGGTTTCAAGGAAGCAATGGAAAGGCTATGCAGATTTGCTGTGCTCGGACCACCAACCACTTGCCCTCCGGTCGCCCCCAAATCCATTTGCGACGAAAGTCTTCCATTCTTCCCACGCCAATAGCCTCAGGTGCAAATCTGGAGTGAGCGCCCTGGGAGGGCGGGAGTTCGCGATCACTTCCGGGTCACCTGGGCGGGGGAACGGGCTGGGGGGTGGGGTCGAGCT